AGATGAAGAGCAGACTCAAGAAGAGATTCACCGTAAGTTGGAGAAGGCCCCCCACTTTTATACAATATGTTTGCAGAAACTCTTTGGGTTCATCTGTGGTGTCATCTTGTCTCACGAGCCAATTATATACGGGTGGGACTGCCCAGGTAACTGATGGCCCCGTGCTGGACGACAAGGCCTTGGATGGCTTAGAGCGAATGAAGGCACGACAGGCTGCTGTCGCCGCAGAACCTGGTACAAAACACAATGGTCAGGAAGCTGAGGCCTGGTTGGCAAATGCAAAACAACAGGGAACGCGGGGAATTATGTTTCTCAGTTTTGAGTTCTTTTCAGACTTTTGTTCTCTGCCTTTTGTGGCAGACGAAGTTGGCCTTGAAGCGCTTTCTGGATAGCTTACTTCAGAAAAGCGGAAAGATCCGCGGACTCATTCGCGAGCTTTCAGAGCAGTACTCTTCCGCAGACAGCACAGCTTCGTGGGCCCCTCAAATATGTTTCAATGGATTGCTGTGCAAACGTGCTCTCAACGAGTATACAACCCGATATATAAATTTGTATATATGCAGGAATGTGGCGAAGTTGCGTGAGCAACTCAAGTTGATGGACTCCGAGTATGACTCTTGTCAATCCGTTCAAGTCTATGGTGAGATCAACAATTGGAACGCAGAGTCGCTGGCCTGTATATACTTTGTGATCGCTTTCCAAGTTACACAAACAATACTCTGCGTGGCTCCAAGGTTTGTCCAAAAAGCAACAAAAGCAATGAACAAGGCCACTGAAACGTCCGGGGCTTATATAGAGTATACATTTGCAGCCTCATGGCCTCATCACGTACATCAAAAGGTCCTATATATACACGTACCCATTTGTAGGTGCTCAAAGGCCGTGGGTCTTGAAATGAAGATCCGGTCCTCGCCCAAGAGCAGCTTAGTACGATGATATATACTTTTTTGGTGTTCCCCTCCAATCCGTCTTCGTGTTTATGGTGCGCGCACTGCAGGAGCGCCAAGAAGTACGAGAAGAAGGACCCGGGGAGTGAGAAAGCAAAAGAGAAGAAGGAAAAGAAAGATAAGAAGCGGGATAAGAAAGAAAAGACTGGGAAGGCAAAGGCTGATGGAACCGAGGGTGAAGGAGCTACTTCCTCAGCGTCCAGGCCAAAACGGCTGAGGCGTATGGAGGCCTAAGTAGCTTAACTTTTGTCATGAGTGTCTTGCAATGGGCTCTGTGGGAACCCTGTGTGAAGCATACAGGCTAGACCCTGCAGAATGACTGTGTGCCAAACAGTGCTCACGAGGTCAATTTGAAAAGAAAGTAACGTTTCCAGTTTCTGTCGCTCAAGGGCATTGGGCGCAGTCCAAACAAGCTTTAGGGGTACAAGCGTGGAAAACGGGCGGCGGGCTTGTAGACACCACGGATGGAAGCCAAACTTTGCTTGGATTCAAACAGCATGTGCAAATTGTGGCTGTTGCGTTCGCAAGTTATACGACCAGCATGCAGCATAATGGTGCATGGCAGGTGCTGGGGCAGCTTTGCGGGTCCTGTCTGGTGACATCGGAGAAGGGGCCAGGAACTCATATTTCCTTCTTCATCTTAGATATAATATAAGTAGTTGCTTGCATTTTGCTGCCGTGCAATCAACCTTGCGCGCGCGCAGCTTTTTGTCTGCAAACCTTATTTATAAGAGATTAAACAATATTAAGATAGCGCAATCACTCGATCCTTCTTGTTTTATGAGGGTGAGAACACTTCGCATCTTCATATATGGCATGCCGTGTTTCTGTGCATGTAGTCACCTCGACGTGCCATGTGTCTTCTCTGATTGCATGGGGAACTGCCTTATATAAGTCAGATCCTCAGTTTTTGTCAATCCCTTTATAACGTTGAAAGATGCAAAGACATGCCACCTCCGTCTGCCAGCTTAGATCCCTCCAGGCCCCCAAGCCCGAAATCCGGCCTGCAGGACTCCAGCAGTGCCCACACAGCTTCTCGAGAACCATTGGTATGGCCTGTGGCATTTGGCAGGCACTTCACTTTGCTGGGTGTCGCTGAGTAATTTGTCATCTCATCTCAAACCATAGAGCGTTTCAAAAGACATTCAAAAAGGGATACACATAAAGCGCATGTGTGTCAAGTGAAAGGCTGCTCGAACACGCCACTTTCTGCAGGCCTATTTATTGGCAAGCAGCGCCATCCATAGGCTGCACCAATGCCGGGCACTGAAAGAACGCCCGTTGTCACATGTAAATTTCTTCAGGCTCTAATTCCCATATCCCTAGACCGCATTGTATGGTTCAAGAGTATGGGGGCTGTGGATTCTACATAGTTTCTAATGTCTCTGATGCGCATGCTTTGTTTTTCCCATCGTTCTTATTTCAGAAAAAACAATTGTTGCTGGAAGAGTGTCTCTGTACATTCACACACACATCCGTTCCTTTGGGCCGCTCAAGGCCAGCTGGACGCAGTGATATACATCTCTGCCTTTGCCACCGGTTGTTGGCATGAAGGCAAAACGCCGCTATTTTGGAAGGGCTCACAGCTTGTGACATAGTTTCTCACCCATGCAATTGTACATGTTGTTGATCTTGTCCGGTTTTGGTCTTTGTGCACTTGTGTGTGCATGGCATTGGTTGGCCACGTGTGATATAAAAGAACGCCAAACCTGCTTCAGTGATTGCATTCAGCGAAGCACATGCATCACATGTGTTTTTGAAATAGCAGTGATTCCCATCCATCCTGCATATACCCCAGCTTCTCACCACCTTTGCGGCCGGCCAAGGCCACTTCGTGCAGGGCGGCCATCCGAACGGCCAAAGGTCTCGTTTCAGACTTTGGGGAGTCTGCAAAGCATTGCTCCCCTGGACTTTCTGAGTTGGCTGCATGCAGGGAGGATCATTCAGAACGTGGTGTGCATTCAATCATAGAGAAATACAACTTGTCTGTTCCAATACCACTCACAGTCCTGCCAAAGGCACCGGGGGTGATCTATCCAGGCGAAATGCGTGGTCTATCTTTGTGCGATTGGGCGCAATGGCTTGTTGATTTGAACCTGTGGCACATTCATGTTGGACTTGCGGAGGCTGATTCACGCCGGGAGCAAAAGATTTTGAGCAAATTCTGGAAGAGATTCAGGGCTATCAAGCCAACGCATGAAGTCTTCAAGTTGGCAGACAGTGGCCGCTTAGACCTCACACGCTGCTGCCCCATGATGGTCCACGGAGACGAGGGCCGTGGCCGCAAGAAAAGCGGTTTCCTCGTGGTCAGTGTCAACTCGTACCTTGGCTTAGGCACCCAGGAGGCAAATTTGGCACGTGAGAGGGGCGAGTTGCCTAGAGAATACGCCAGAATGATGTTGAACTACGTTGGCTCACCGTTTTGCCACCGGATCTTGCTCGCAGTTCTTCCCAAGATGTTTGGTGACCACGAGGCCTTTCTCAGCATCATGGATTTCGTGGCAGCTGAATGTAAGAAAATGCTTCTCCAAGGAGTTCGTGATCGTAGTGGCCGTACTTTCACCATGTGCATTTTGCACAATACAGGTGACTGGCAGTGGCACGTGAAGGCTGGAAACCTTGTTCGCTCGTACGCCAACGTACAGAAAAGACCTCTGACGGCGGATTCAAATCCCAAAGGGATATGTCATCTTTGCCGCGCAGGCCAAAGAGGAATAGATTGGGAAGGTTACAGGGCAGATTCAGAACCAAGATGGTACAGAAGTATGTACGAGGAAGATCCATTTGGGAATCCAAGGCCTGCGCTGAATACAATTCCGCACGTCCCACAGGAGCAACCTGGCTTTTATACATATGACTTATTCCACACGTTCCATCTTGGGATTGGAAAAAGTTTCGTTGCTGGATGCCTTGCCCTAGCCTCCGAACAGATGGAAGCATCGCAAGCGGACGCTCGTTTTGCAGAACTTACGGAACTTTATTTTGCCTTTTGTGCAGAGCATCATGTTGTGAGCTACCTTTCGGGAATCAGCCGATCTACAATTGGCTGGCCAGACTCTTCAAGCTTCCCAAATGGCCAATGGAGCAAAGGTCACTTGACCCGAAGCCTTTCTGACTTTTTCATGTAGTGGGCCGAGCAACACGATTTGTCGCATCACCGCCTCCTAGCAAAGTGCAAAGAGACAAACTTGCTCATTTCTCATTGCATGAAAAGGCTTTATTCTCGAGACGTGTGGCTCTCACGAAATGACGCAACATTCGTGAGCACTACAGCACTACAGTTTCTTGAAGGGTACAGTTGCCTGGCAACGATGGCTTACAACGAGGATAAAAATTTATTTCCACATATGCCCAAGGGGCACAGCATGCACCACATTTTCTACGACCTGAAGGTTCTCCTGATGTCTTCACCACATGCTGAGTGGTTCCTCTCTCCGTTGTGTCACTCGGTACAGATCCACGAGGACTGGGTCGGAAGGTGCAGCAGATTGGCTAGGCGTGTCGCAGCTGGTCAAGTGGTACTTAGAGTACTTCAACGAAATTTACAAGCGTGCTACAAGCACTTTCGTGAGCAAGGCTACTTGAAAGAGTGAAAAGGTGTATTTGCAGCGGCCTTGCCATGAGGTGTTGAAAGCGGAGGGGTGGTTGATGGTTGTTGAGATGTTGTTGTGCGTCGCTGGTTCTGGGAAAACATCGTGTTTTGTGAAAACCTCGACTTTCTCAAGAAAAGCTCGTGTATTTTCAAGAACCTACGAATTTGAAGGTACCAGGCTCCTAAGGTATATTACATTTAACCCATTTTACACCATTTGTGACCATATAGGTCACTGTAATATTCCACTCATTTTCTGGTCCGGCGAATGGTCTGGGTATTTGTTTGATGATTCTTCTTCGATGGATCTCCCCAACCCAAACAACATCCCACACCCGAACAACTCCGCCGGTCTTGGTATACCACTCCACTCACGTACCCAACAACACCCAGTAGACCCGCCTACCCACGTCCGGTCGCCGCGTTCCCCATCTCGGTCGCCGTTCGGCGGTTCCGCGGAGGTTTCGCGGCAATGCTCCGATTCTGCTGGTCATCGATGACGAATGCAATGCTTTGGAGAGAAGGTCCCTACGAGGCCGGAGACGGTCCCCACCTGCTTTGGAAAACGTCTCCAATCTTCTGGGGCTGGAGCTCGGTGGGAGCTTTTTTGCTCATGGGCTCAGTTGAAATTTGGCCATTCTTGGGGTGAAACGCACATGCTACAAACATGATGTGTGCAGATCTAGCCAGCAATGTGGGTGGGGAACTCCGGTGGATGTGATGATGCTGTTGTCACACTATTTGGGGCGGAGGTCTATATACCTCACAAAGAGCGAGTTCAGTCAAAGCAAACCAATCATCGTATATGAAGATCACAGAACGACCTCTGTCCCAGCATATCGGAGGTCTTGTTTTCAAACCTGCACACGGTCTGCGCTCGTTCCAGGTCTGCTGGCCGAAGTGCTCCGCAAGACCCATAAGCTGAGACTCCTGCTGGGCACGTCCCACGCGAGCGACGAGGGCACGAGCGAAGCTCGAGAAGCTCAGGGCCTGCAGGAATTGGGCTGCAGTAAGGTGGTGTGCCTCGGCCTTCTGGCAGAGTGGACGGTTCAGTCGACGGGTTCGAAGGGGGTGGTTCGGGCGGGGCGGAAGAATGTCATCGTGTAAGCAGAAGAGTGATTTAAAGACAAGCCTTTCGCTCACCGGATCTGACTGGATTCCAACTGATTCCATGGTCTGGAGATCTCTGGAGTATTGATACAACAAATAAAACAAGCTAAGGCCCAAGGGACTTCCCCTCCATCCTTCAACTAACTCTTGCACGAGTTCAAGCTGCCACGCACCACTCTCATCGACCGGATGTGATATCACTCTCATCGGCTCATCTACACACTCCCTAGGGATCCACATACCTTCTCAGAAGGTACGACTGGACCCTCCTGGCACCTACATGTCTCAGTGTCTCCAAGCACCTAACCTGAGGTTCGGTACGACTGGAGCCCAGTCGGGACTGTGAAACAGCTCGACGGGTCCTGCCAGTCCGACTTGCCTGGTCGACCACCAGGCCAGTCATGGTCACCTGCCAGGTCAGTCATGGTCAGTCTAGGTTGGAGACCTGTTGGAGCATGGTGGAGTCGGGTCCCGGGTTTGGGTGCGATTTTCATGGTGCAGACGGTCTGTCGAGTCTCCTCAAGTCTCCTCAAGTCTCCCTCTGTCACCAGAACCAAGTCGAATCTCTGCCTACCTGAACCAAACAAACATCACTCCAAAATCACTTCTTTAACAACAAACCACTGAAAAGAAAAGAAAACACGCATCAGCCCTCCCAATCACCCTGCCAAGTTTCAGCTCGTTACCTCTGCAACCACCGCCTTAATTCCCGGTCCCTCCACGTCCGCCCATCCGCCGACTTCGTCTCAGGACGATCCGTCTCCACGGCTTAGACCCCGCGACCTCGGTGCGGCTGCTGCTGCGCCGGGTGCATCGTCCCTTGGAACCCCACGACCTCTTCCCCTTGGAGGCGCTCTCCGAGGCGCTGGGCGTCCGCTCACCGACCCGCTCCGCTCGAGACAACGGACGGACGCGCGATGCGGACGGACGCGCGCGGGGGCATCCGGAGGTCCCGGAGGGGTGGACGTTTGGTGTTGGTCGACCGGAGACGAGTGAAGTGAATGGTGCTCTTTTTTCACAGCGTGGCGGAAGGAACAGACCCGGTCAGCCGCCGACACGGGATTTGCTTGCTCGATTTCAATCCATATCGGTGTTGTTTACGACCTTGTTCAACACTCCATCGGATACATTCACATGTAGGAAAATGTGCCAGTAACATGGAGTGTTTCCGTATTGTCGACTATTGATGAATGACCCCCAGTGGAGATGTCAAACAGTCAACATTATGTTGTTAATTCTTCTTATTTTTGCAATTAATGAATCGCATCAAAAGTCTCCAACTAGTTGACAGGACATTTGCAACCACCTTGACCTTTGGGGGTTTATACTGTTTTTTATCCATTCTTCCTGTATCTAACTGCCTACCTGGTAGTGATCGATGGTTGCTTTTGTATATGATTCCTCATTGCTGCAGACACTCCATGTATGGCATAGACGCCCACATTGACCCCCCTCCAACCACCCTAATGCAGGTAAATATGCCAGTCCCACAGAGTGTTTGGGATATATTCAACTTGTTCCTTGAAAGACATTTGGTCAACCCACCATTCCACCTGTTGTTTCTCACATGTGCACCTGGAGTCTCAAACTTTAAAAATGGTCATGATTGTCTTATTTGCTAGGGTAGTTCTTTTCATGCCAACATGTTCTTGGGCAACATGTTGTTTTGTTCGCAGGGCCGGGCCCGAGCTCAGCTGCGGGAGAATCGAGAAGTGGCCAAGCGCCTGCGGCACACAAAGCGACGCGTTTCACGTCCCGGTTGGTGGTGCCAAGCAGAAGAGGGCTCTGAGGGTCAGTGGGGGTGATGGGATTCGGTGCATTGAAGTTCAAGGATTTCTTCTTCGATTCCACCTCCAACAACTCTTAGGCATCCTTAGGTCGTACTCTCTCTTCAGTCATCTCCAAGCCCTCAGCCTTCAGCCCTCAGCCCTACTTGGAATCGATGTCAGGGATCGGCTGTGGACCAAGCTAACCCGGTAAGGACAGGCAACCAGGACCTGAGCCGTTCGTGACGTCGGGACGTCCAGGAGCTGAGTCGGAACTTACGTCGGCCTATATTGGTTGACGATCAGTTGCTGGGGATATCAAGTTCGGTCAGTTGGAAGAACCAGTGGTATGGAATATTGTATATAGTTACAGCTATATATGTTACATGCATACATAAATGTTACATACACTAACATGTTACATATACATTGACCATCTTTTACCCCTTCGATATCCTTCGATACTGGGATTCTGCCCTGATATTTGACCGGGATCACCTTCGTGGGAGCCATGCTCGCAGAGCGCACCGGTGCACCGTGCGGTTGAGGCTTCTAGTGGGAAGCCAAATCCTCCAACCGCTGGAGGGCAACCCAGGTGCGGTCTCCGACATTTGGAGGAACCTCGGGAACCTCACAGCTAGCGGGTGCAGCAGAGGGATTTTTGTCTGATCAAACAACGAAGTAACGAAGTGGTCGCGGCCACGGAGGGAGATGTTAGGGATCGAAGAGCGCGGATTGTCGTGAGGATATCGGATGCCGTGAGGATATCGGATGCGAAGGAAAACCTAATAGAGATAATACGTATAAGAAAGACTGCCAGACTGAAAGAAAGTGGAAACAAACACACACATCTTAGCACAACATGATACATCTGTGATTCCCGCATGATATCTGCGACGGCTCTTCCTCTCTTTCGCACAAGGCCTCTTCGCGGAGAACGAACTTGGAAATAGTACTCCCCTGCAGATTAACATGGAGTTCCAAAACCATTGGGTTGGTCTTCGGATGGCATGGTCGTTCGACCACCGGTCGTTCTTCTCAGGTTCCATGTGTTCTCCATTTGCGAAATAGTACACCTTGCCAGTCTCATGTTTGTTCAGACTCGCACTTGTTACTTACGTAGCTTCTTGGTTAGTGCCAGGATCTATATACGTTCGTTCCGATGCCCTTGGTTCCTTTCGTAGCTTTTTGGTTACATAGTCTCAGATCATTTCAGTGGCCGCTTCGGCACGGACGGAACGGTTCGACGTCGACGGGCCCAGAACGGCGGATGAACTCGGAATCCGATGGACGGGGGGTCGGACCGGCTGACCCAAACGAAGCGTGGATCAAGCCCTACTTGAGGCCATATGTATGCAAAAGGTCCATACGTTGGAGAAGCTTAGATATGAGATCTATGAGATCCGTGACGGCTGGAAACATGACAGGTCCACTGTGCTCGAAAAGGTGTCAGACGTGCGTTGGCTCGACCATCCAGGGCCAAGTAGGTGGCGATGAAGCCGGAAGTGCCGCGAAAACATCCTGTTTGGGCTCCAAGGTCGACCATGTTTTCGAGTGTCGGCCAAAGAGTCCACGCTAACAAGGCTATTGAAACACCTAGGAAACCTATATAATATATATAGACCTACTTGATTGAATCTACTCCTTGGCCATTCCGTTGACACTTCGAAAAGCACGGTTGGAACACTCCTAGCTCGCCGCGGTGGCGCGTGGTGCTTCGCAGCTCGGCGCGTCGGCGCTCGGCTCGGCGTGTTGTGAGGCTTAATCCGACAGCTGGGCTCTCGAATTGTCGAGGGCGGTGCTCCTTTGAGGGACGTCCTGCAGGAGCGTTTCGAGGGTCGGGGAACCGGTGGATCGGACGAGATGTGCCGAGAAAATGGCTGGCAGGAGTGGCTGACCCGAGGGATCACATGGAGGTCAATAGTCCATGCATTTGGGTGGTTGGGTATGGAAGAGTCATGGAATATGTTAGCTATATTACATTGACCATCATGAAACACCCATGGCACGGTCCCTGGCCCGTCCATGGGACCGTGGACTATTCCATGGATGGAATGGGGACAGGCCTCCGGTGAAAGTCCACCTTTTGGCCAAAGGAACAGACGTCGAAAGTGAAGATGGCTCATCCGGTCGTGGTGGGTTATGACTCCTATACCCAAACACTCGATGTATGGCATATACATTGGGGCGGTTTCAATAAGGGTCCATGTATACATGTATATCTACGTATATCATTGACCCTTATAAAATATATCTATCATGCACGAAGTGCTTGGGATAGGGTGGGGTAGTTCATGAATCAAACGGTCCAACACAGAAGTGACTCAAGGGTCGTTCAGTGAGTGACTCAGGGCTCGCCTGGCACTTTTTGGGCGCCGAGATGCGCAGAGCTCCATCCTCCTCACAGGTCTAGTCTGTATGTTAATAAGGAGACGCCCTGGCTGGGTAGATGAGTCTATGATCCGAACCTGGAGGTCGGAACCCCTGGGAGGTCTCCCTATTTTGATACACACATCATATGGGGTGTTTTGTACTGACGTGACTTGCAGGGTGGATCTGGATGGGGGAGGCAAGATCTTATCAGGCACGACCTTTTGGCGAATCACGATCTATTCGTGACAGGCCTAGCCTGTGCCTGTGGAGTGTGCGGGATTTAATGATAACTCAATCCAGTATACTTGCAAGCCGAGTTGGCAAGAATCTCTCATACAGTTCCATGTCTTGTTTGGGCAAACTGCTGAGCTTGCCCAAATGGAAGCAGGAACGTTGCCCGGGCAGCCTGGGTGCCATCGTTCGAGCCAAGCATCCACTCGGGCGACGGCGAGCCAGCTGAGACAGAGCATCCACGGCAGAATGACCTACATGTACCCCGTCCGTTCATGACCCATCCATGTATGTAACTACCGTCCATGCTCTAAAAACCGCCAAACAGCCCGGAGAGGTCTTGTTTTTCTGTCAGGACCCGATCCACGAGGAGCTTCAGTGACCTCTTAGGGAGTCTCCAAGTGACCTCCTTAGGCACTAAGTGATTTCAAGGACGGTCCCACTTCCATCTTCCATCCGGCTGTCCCACATCCGAAGGTAGGGACAGATGCCAGATCCACCAGGCCACCAATTCGGATGTGGGACATCCCAATTCGGATAGTGGTTTCAGATCTTCGATGGCGCAAGTTACCCCAAGTTTTTGGTGGTTAAAAAAGGACCCCTTCCATCCAAACAATGGATGCCTTGCCGGATGGTGCCACCCTCTGAAACCTACTTGAAACCTACTGAGGCCGGTTGATCTTCCTCTCTGTCAGTGGTTTTCCTCCCACCGTACCGTGCCGCCGACAGGACATGCTTTGGAACCGAGCTGAGGCCGGGGGCTCCGCTGGATCACGGGCGTTCTGACCACGAGCGTTCTGCCCTATAGAAGTCCAAGCCCATGTTTTTAATGGTTGATGTGGTTTGGTAAAAAGTCCTTATAGTAATACAATGGTTCGGAAAGACCACTAAAACGATGGTTTGAATCCTAGGGTTAGGGCTTAGGAGGCAGAAAGGCACGCAAGTTGACGTGCAAAGCAGGGTTGTTCCCACTCCCTGGCAGTATGAACAGACCATGAACAGACATGAATCGGCGAGTATGGCTGAGTCCACCAGGATGAAACCTCCGGGGTTTGGACACGCCAGATCCGCGATGACTGGCATTCCAAGCGGCCTTCACCGTTCGTCTCTTTTCGCCAGCACCGCCATCAATGTCTGACCTGATCGAGCCGACTCCAGAGGGTATGTGCAGCAACACATGTTATTAACAAACATTAATCAATGCATCAAGAATTTTGAGTAAAACATATTATTAATACTCATTAATCTCATGTATCATAGAATTGGCTTTGGTTATGATCCCAGATCCTAGTCCTGGTCCCCCGGTCCCCTGGTCCCTTCTTACTACCACTACCACCACCACTACCACTACCACTACCACTACGACTACGACTACGACCACTACTACTACTACCACCACTACTACTACCACTACCACTACTACTACTACTACCACCACCACCACCACTACTACTGCATACCAATACTAGCTACTACTAACTACTACTACTCCTCCTACTCCTTCTCCTGCAACTACTCCCGAAGCAGAGATACTACTGGAATAGCTTTTTGTATATCTTCTTTTGATACCCCAGTGTTAAATTTCACAACCCCTACCGTGAAAGTAACCAGAAATAAAGATAAGAAACATAAAGGTTGAACAAAGAGTAAACTTATGTTTACACATACATGGTTAGGTTTGAAGTTTTCAAGAAAATGTGCTTGTAAATCGCTCGATCCTGCGCATGCATGTGTTTGCCCAAACATAGAAAGAAGGCAAGATTCAAAGTCATGAAACCAGATAGATGCAATCAGAAAGACATGGCAGCAGCAACCGCGTGGAATGAAGACAAACAAATAGCAAGACCTGCCACTCTTGTAGAAAGCGGTTTGCTTGCCATGCAAAGAGTGGCCGCTAGCGCTAGCTATGTCTATGACCACCTGCTGGTCGCTGCAAGACCAATACTTGAATATGGCTCAAAAGACGATGTCTCTTGGACAGCAGCACAATGAAATGAAATTCAACAAATTTGCAGGAACTAGTTCAGGGGGAGTGGGAATGGGAAGGTGTTTTCTTCTTACCGGTTCTTATACTTACAACATGTGGATTCTTCCGCGGTATTGAACTGGGACATCAAGACATCCATTTTCTTGCGGCCAGCGTGGAAAGGTCGATTTCAGTGATTTCACCCGCCGCTAGATTTAACAATTAAACAGCTTTGGAGGATGCTCAACCCGTGAGGTGCAGATTGTTGCCAAATTCTGAGAGGAAAGGGTTTCCCCATGTTCTCCCTTGAATCAGAAACCTTGTGTCCAAGTGATGTATGGTAGGTCTCTTGGACAGCAAAATGATCAAGACATAGGCAAGTCACTGGGTGGCAGTGGCAGCGGACCATTCCCAAATTACCAAATGGCCAGAGTTACAGATCTGCGGTGCAAGAACCAAGGTCGACCGCTTCAGATCTGCGATGCACGAACTTACTTCGCTGATGCAGGTGCTGAGTGCTGAGTGTCGGTTTCAAGCTTTGATTCTTTCAGTTATCATCAGTTCTCACTCAGTTTACTTTTTACTTACTAAAGAATCTGAATCTGAATCTCTTTGCCATTTCTGCCCGGCTGCCAATTGTTCACAACGTTTGGCATAGCCTGGTCTATATAGTGCGCAAGCTTTCGAATCTGTATCGCGTCACAGCAATCACTCGCAGGTTTCAACGACCATGAAGGAGCACATGAAGAATGAGCTAGCGCCACAGGTCGCAGGCAAACGGGGCGGGCAGAAGGCCTATAGTATCTGGCAACTTGCCAGATTCATGGGGCTGTACCTCAACTGACAGAGCAACTTGCTAGTTTTTTTATTGCCCTATGCCTATGCCTATGGCCTATGGCGGATGAAGGTATGGTAGGTAGTGTAGTGTTGGAGGGATGTAGGTAGGACCAAATAGGAGTAGGATGAGTGGGCATAGGATCTCGAATCAACCTCCTGTACTCCTGGACCAAGGGCTCCTGAACCCCCCCAGAAGATGGTTTGTATGAATCTCAAAATCCCCAATCCCCAAGGGCATTGGAGCTGCGAGATTCAGACTCTTTCCACTATGCGCTCCGGTCTTCTTTGAGAATTGCCTTGGATGGGTTTGAAGATAGCTCTTGCCCATCTGACATGCAAGATCTTCTTAGGGTGCTTGGTGCAGAGGAGACTAGGATGATCTTAGACTTGTGCTTGTGGGCCGACGGTAGTTTTACCAGCTGGGCGGAGCAACCAACTCACCCGCCCAACCACATCAGGAACGTGTGGAGGACTTTGAAGACGCCCAAGGGCCATCAGCTGCCACATTCAGCCGTGCCAAGTACAAGCTGGACATTTTTATGATGCTATGCCGTAGACAGTATTGGAAGACAAGATCTTTTTCATCGGAATGGATCAGTTTGTGTCACCTGTTACATACTTGAAGTGATTGAGGAACCACACAGGCCAGATCGGGGGCTGGTATGGTCTGGTCCAGGCTGTTGCAACAAGGTTGAAACAACGCAGTTGGGTTAGGTTCCTCACCAGCTTCCTGAGTTGATAGATGTTTTATGCAAAGCAATGCGACACAACTACCACAACACTCTGTGCTCTTGTCTTGTACATAGTAGTACATAGTACTAGTACTAGTACTAGTACTACTACTACGACTACTACTACTACTACTACTACTACTACTACTAGCAATTACAAATCGTGCCAAGACCATTGAAAGCGAACACTCAGGCTTTGATGCCACTGATCAGAAGAACGAGTTGTTGATGATCGAGGAGTACTGCGCAAGGCCCCCTAGCCAATGCATCATGAACTTCAACGTTCAACGTCAAGAAAATAGTTAAAATAGTTAACGCCGGGCCAGAGCCGCGCCATGATTCTATGTAAGCTAGAGGGGCCGGTAGGGGCTATATTAAGTATGAGTTTGTCGCCTGACCAATGCCTGGCTGAGGGTGGAAAGCGCAACTACGGCATACTTTGCTTCCTTGCATACTGAAGACGAGACATATCTATGCCTGGAAGATCAACGGCCATCTGACGCTGCTGTTCCACCGCCACCCTTGTCCGTGACGAGAAGAGTTTTGCCAATCATGGTGTTGGGACAAGGATCCATTTAGCAGTTTTGGAGTGGGCAGTGGGAGTTTGAAATTGGAAACCGGAAGCAAGTTAAACATTATAATAGGTATCAATTTATGTTATCATAGAAACAATTTTCCGTGTCTGACTATGGATGTATGGATTACTGTAGATCTCCTAGGTCCCAGGTCGTTTTGATTTTGATCTCTCTGCCCCAGGAGCCACATCATTCTCCTGTAAATTGGAGAGCCTTTTATGGTCCATTTTATTGGAAGCGGGCTATGATGATCGCCAGATGTGTTTGCGAGGATTCAGTGAGCAGGTAATCTCCTGTGTTACTGACCAAGGAATCTTGACCAGATATGCAGCATTCACTGCCCATACCATACCATACCTGCATAATGATGGTTTGTGTGGGGCCCCCCCTGGTATATATATAGTATATACATGTACAGTAAGCTTCTTTTGTGTTGCACACTGTTGGCAAGGAACAGAGAGCAAAGTTGCTGCAGCACCGGAGCTCCCAATTGAAGAGATATGGCAAGAAACTGCACAGATCTTAGACAGCGTACCTAGAGCTGGTGGACTGGCGGCTGTAGCCCTAGCTTTGAGCGATGGTCTGGATCAAATGGAGCTTGATGATGACCTTTCCAACTTGCACCTTGTTTGAATATTGTTAGCTTGGGACTTGGGCCAACATTGAGACATACTTTCCACTGTGCGGTGGCAGGGACCTGCGTTATAGAAAAAGGCAACATATATATAAACAAAACTAAACTAAGTGATGTTAAGAAAGAAGCAATCAGTATCAGACAGTCATGAGTCATGAGTCATAAGACAAACCAATCTATCTAGGCTCTCTTGAACCACTTGAACCTGGCAGGAATGTTGTTGCAGTTCCAGCTGCATCAGATGTTGCAGCACAGTCAGAAGCCGCACATGCTGCAGAAGTACCTCCAGAATTGCCAGCTGCAACGGCTGCTTGCAATGCGCAGTTCAGCAACGCCTTTCTTATCCATGGGGTCAAGCACGTCTGCGACAACGCAATGAAGGATATCCTACCTGACATGACCATGTGTCTTGGCTTGAATAGATTGGCCCTGGTCAAACAACTAGACCAAACCGTACTACCTACCCGTACTACCCAGCTTTTTCATTATTGTCAGACGGTCTGTCAGATTTAAGTTTATGGCTGTTGCACAGTTTGACCACCAAATACTCAGGTGGAAAGGTTTGCTCAATAGCTTGCGATGTCTGGAAAGACTGCTGAGCAGGAAACAAACAAGAGAACGCTTTATTGCTACTTGCATTGGCCCCCAGCACTGTGCACTAGGAGAAGACTTGCCATTCCGACACTTTGCAGTCAAACTGGGAGGCTTGCGGTGGCAGGTGGTCACCAAATTCTGTTTGGCAGCCATTTGGCAGCTACAGATATGGTTTCAGTGTTCTTTGGGACTGGCAGAAGAACACATACGTCGTGATATTGTGAATTCTAAACGACTCTAAACTCCAGACTCTTGACTAACTTCACTAGTCACTAGCAGCTTTTTTTAATCATTCCCAGTCAGTCCGGGGAGTGACATCGATGTCAGGTCTCAGGTTTTACCCTTGGAGGGCGCTATCAAACGATTCTGGAGCAAGTCGGCTTTCATGGCTGGCAGCCAACAACGGGCTCAAAACCAGCAACAGCATCGACCACTTTTCCTATCTGAACAAACCATGGAATCTTTTCAAGTCAATCGGTAGCTATTTACTTTGCTTGGTTTAGTTTTCAGTGTTCAGCTCAGCTCAGCTTTTGATTTTTGTGAAGCATCAAATCGAATCGTTCAATCAATCCAGACTCAGACCCAGGATGCCTTTTCTGGAGTCTTGGTTGATGAGATCGATGCTGTGATTCGAGATGAGAACACATGGCGCTACATCGCAGTGGCCGCAGACCTAGCTCAAGAAGCCGATCACGTTGGTTCTTGGTCTGAAGCTTGCCCGTGCCACGGCAACTTCACAGAGCAATGTCAAGAGGAACAAGTCCAAGCACAAGCAAGGCACAGAAAGCGGAGAAAGCTCCAGCCTCACGGCTTTCTTCCAGTGGGAGGAGATGTGGGTGGCTGCCCCTTCAAAGGTTGCAGATCATACGAGCTGGCAGCGGGCGGTGCAATGGAATCATTGCGGGACAAGATGATGCACAACCGGCAAAAGCTTTTGGCTCATGTTGCAACTGCCCAGGAAGCAGAACGGCATAATCTGGTTGCTGACTGGGAGCGGGCAAGAAGTAGACTCTGGGGTGACTTGGTTATGCACAAGCAGCCAGCTTTGTATTCTCCAAATGCTTGAAGTTTAGTTTGAAGATTGAAGTTGACAATGTTGAAGTTAAAGAGTAAAGAGCCACGTCATGATTCATGAGGCATACGTTTCCATGTGAAGCACTTTGCATTTGTATTTAACTCAGACTCAATCTCAGGCCAATTGACGATGAAACTATCCTTCTGGGAATCCCTGCCATGGAAGCTGTGTGTCTCGGTTGTGTCCATTGTCAAACAAACCATCATCAATCATCAATCATCATCAGCCTAACCAGCTTTGCATCACCGCAACCAATGAATGGCTGAAACCCAAGGTGCTTTGGCACATCCCTCACCTTTGATTGTGACTCAAACAGCGCAACTATGCCTCCAGCTATATTCCGTGGGAGGCCGTGGGTGTGATCATAGACAGAGCCGGCGGTTTTTGAGCCCTGACTATGATGAAGGGGAACATGACCCTGGCTTGAGGGCTGCCGTTGAGGCACTGGCGAATGGATCCAACATCGATGATTTAGATGAACGTCTCAAAGCTTCTTATGCCAAGTGGATGGGAGCCTTCAGGCTTGTCAGGACTGTAGAGCGGTCTGTGGAAGGTGTACACTCCATCATCACCAAGTTGATGAAGAGGGCGCCAGCCGCAAAGGTTCCTTACATCTCGCTGGATTTGAGGTTCCATATGCTCAAACCCATCTTGTCAGAAATGGCCTTTTGCCCACAAGCCACTCAGCCATACCTGAGGTTTCGCAGGGGAAAAAGATTTGGAAGGCATTAGTTCGGCATCAGAAGTTCCACCACAACCGCCACAACCCACCGGCACGCCATTTTCCCACTGGATAAGAAAGGCTTGAGAGGAGTTGAGCCTTTGGATTGGCCACACATACCTTTGGAATATCCTCGAAATCTGCTTGCATACTATTGTAGATGTTCAAAGAGGTTTGTCCAGGTGCAACAGCTGGGAAGGTTTGAACTTTTAATGATTGCTGCTGTTGCTGTTTGTTATTTTTCTTCAAGACTTGACTTCAAGAGTAAAATATATTGTGCCTGGTGACCCAGTGATGTTTCCCAGAAAATCAGAAGTTCAGATTATTAACTCGCGCGGGGGTAGGCGGGTAGGCCCCCACTTGCATAAGCGTTTCAACGTCACTTGGTGGCCCCCAGAACCCACGCAACAAAAAATACATGAAAAACATGGGTTTAGACAGGTGTAAGACTACGACGACGACGACGAC